TTGTATGGACTGAGTCGAGAAAGGGCTCGGGTTCGGCTTCCGACTTGCAACGGTCCCAGACAGATGCTGAACAGCTCTGTCATTTCCGAGTATCTGCAAGATAGTGCCGAGCCGATATTCGACTGGCTCACGTGCGAATAATTCATTGCGACGAAACAGTTGCGCCCTGTAATCCTGCGTCATAATATGCGTTGATCATTAAGATTGCTGCAAACAAGCTGGAAGCTGTCGGCAGCTCCCGGGTCTGAAGCCAACACTCGGGAAAGGAGCACCACACCGTTCGGCGACTCAAAGTCTCAGAACATCCCGTCAGTAACAAGTCGGGAATGAAGCACCAACCCCCGCAGCGTCATTGCATAGGACCCTTCAGCAGGTGCCGGAACCTGTAGAGTGCATCGGCGTCTGTCGTCCAGTCTCCAGCGTCAAACGGTACGGCTTGCGCCCTCCAACTCCGCCCGAACAGCAGCGGTACAGCTCAACATCCTGGGCCACTCACTGACGGACCACCACCCACCTCACTCACTGCTGCGAATGCGCTGCACCGCACCTGCACCGCACCACTGCAACCCGATCCTGGCGCCTCCTGCCAAAAGAGACAGCCGACAGCTCGCATCATTTTGCTCTCTTGCTCCGTCCCGCTCCACCTCGGCGCTTTTTCGCAACATCTCAGTCTCCAACTGCCCCCGACTGCGCTCCTCCTCCCGTGCCGACGCTACCTTGCCTTACCAACCAGACCAAGACTAAACTACACTACTCCTGCAACCACCACTGCTACAACCACCGTTCTCACCAACTCCTCTCTCCGTCTCTCTCTCTCTCCTCCCCGCGCCTCCGCCCTCACCCCTCACTTCCCAATCCCGTGTATATGGGAGCGCTCGTCCTACCCGATCCGTTTTCCACTACTCGCACTAGGTCTCGAATCCCCCGCAAGGCCAATGGGCTGCGATAACCGCTAGTCGCTCAGTGTCACGGCGGCGTGGGAGCGTTCCCCGCATACCGGGACACCTGGGAAGGTCCAGCAACGATCCATACCTGACCGACAGGTACAAACGATATACACCACAATTACTGCCGAAAGAGTCACTGATTACGAACGACTTACTGCGGCATCTTGACCACCAACGCCCGCACATGCTTGTGCGGTATCCAGATATCTGATCCCATCTGCCTTGTGCACAGCTTTTTCGAGAGCGAACCAAACCCCGGAGCACCGCGCCGATTTCTTTTGATCTCTACCCAGTACAGAACTTCGCCTACACCCCGCAATCCTGACCGCCGACCGAGCTCAACAGTGAGAGGGGATGTCTCACGACGAACACCACGATCCTCAACGAGGCGCACCGCACCCGCCAGAAGAAGAATATGGGCCGTATCCCACATCGACATATCCCAACTACAGCAGCTCGCGAGCCTACCCAGCCCCGGTCCGCGCCGCGGCCGTAGCCACCGTGGAGCAAGCCGCCGCTGCCATGCCCGACACCACCATCACCCTCTTCGAAAGATGGGCTGCCGGCGCCTCCGACTCTCAGTTCAACGCACTCGCCGGCGCCGTCGGAGGCTTCACCTCGGGCGTCGTCACCTGCCCGCTTGATGTCATCAAGACCAAGCTGCAGGCCCAGGGTGGCTTCAACCCTATCGCAAAAGGCAGACACGTCGGACACCCGAAGCTGTACAATGGCCTGCTTGGCACCGCCGGCGTCATTTGGAGGGAAGAGGGCATCCGCGGCATGTACAGGGGGCTCGGCCCGATAGTGTTGGGCTATCTGCCCACCTGGGCTGTTTGGTTTACCGTCTACAACAAGAGCAAGGATTGGATGAAGCAGCGCCATGGTAAGGAAGCGGGAGTGGGGGTGGTTTCAAGGAGAGCGCTCCGCTGACAACAGCCACAGACAACGCGGTGTTTATCAACTTTTGGTCATCCATCATAGCTGGTGCCAGCAGTACCATTGTTACGAATCCGATATGGGTTATCAAGACCCGCCTGATGTCGCAGAGCGTCGCACACGACCCTGGCAAGCACTACTCGCAGTTTCCGAAGTCGTCTAATACACCAACTTCGAGACCGACGTTGCACAGCAACTGGCATTATTCGTCGACGGTGGACGCTGCGCGCAAGATGTACACGTCGGAAGGCATCCTCTCCTTTTATTCCGGCCTGACACCGGCCCTGCTGGGACTTACTCACGTAGCTGTCCAGTTCCCCGCGTACGAGTACCTGAAGACCAAGTTCACCGGTCAGGGAATGGGAGAGCCTGCGCACGGCGATGCGCAGGAGTCGCAGTGGATGGGCATTCTCTGTGCTTCGATATTGTCGAAGATCATGGCGAGCAGCGCGACGTACCCGCACGAAGTCATACGGACGAGGTTGCAGACGCAAAGGAGGCCAGTAGCCGGAGCGGAATACCTCCTAGGTCTTGGCATCAAGGTACCAGAGTCAATGCTGGGTGATGAAGCCAAGAAGCAACAGCCGATATCACCAAAGTATCGCGGCGTGGCTAGCACCTTCCGGACCATCCTCAAAGAGGAGGGATGGAGGGCCTTTTACGCTGGCATGGGCACTAACATGATGCGAGCGGTGCCGGCCGCGACGGTGACGATGTTGACGTACGAGTTTGTCATGAAGCAGCTGAATCAAGCGAGGGACGAAGGCAAGAGGAAGAAGGGGAGGGGACTCGAACCATGAGCTCAGCCGCCATTTCGGCCGATTTTTCAAACACACACACGCACAGTCGAGAGCGACGTTGAATTTGCTCAGTTAAAGAAGGAGGATGGCAAGACTACGTATCAAGATCAACCATTTGCGGTACATCAATGCAGGAGAGAAGGAAAGAAGCTGTTGAGATTAGGAAAACGGGAATGGGACTTTTCCAGATACCCTTAACTTTGGTCGTCAGGTTATAGACAAACTCGATTCAGGTCACGCGAAATAGCGCACCCCCAAACATACTCCACAGGAGAGGCAGCAATATCTGTCCCTCCCACCTCTCTCTCTCTCTCTCCTTTCATTTTCTAGCATCCTGAACCCGTTCTCTCACCACAGAGCGTTTACTTACCCATGGAGCATGGCAAAAAAGGATCGAATGTTATTATTTGGGGCGGCACAAATCTTTTGTAGCATAAATATAAGTCTCGGGCGCGGAGTATCTACGGGGGGACAATGACCGGTAGCGCAAACATAATGCGAAAGTTTTTTTTTTTCTAGTTTCTCACTTGGTATCTCGTGCTGCGCTTATGGACGAAATGTCGATGGCGCGCATGGGGGTATTTGGTACATGAAATTTGAGTAACACAATTAACAGCCGGCGTATCTCAGCGCGGCTCTACTGCCTGTTCCCCGTTCCATTCTGTGGACGTTCTCCCGCTCTCATCCGCCGCTGAGCGTGGTAGTGACGAACAGAGGCAGGCAACCGCGATGCCGAGGCTTCTTGCGGTGATGGATGCTTCTCGGTCCCGCATCAGGACTTGGGCTCAGGCGGCGCGGTAGGTCTGCTGCTGCCGCTGGCGATGTGGCCCTGGTTCTGGCCGTGACCTTGGCCGTATCTCTGGAAGGGGTGTTAGTGATCAAAGAGTCGCGTGAGATTGGGGAGATCCTGGGGCGACGAACGGCTTGGTCTCGCGCTGAGCGGATCGAGGACCGGGTGTATCTGGTTTAGGTCAGCGGGGACTCTTTTCCTTCTGAGGTCTAGGATGGTTCCATCTTGGCGAGGCGAGGCGAGGTAGGAGTGCTGGAGGTGAGAGAGGGGGATGGAGTAACTCACGCGAATAGGAGGCAGGCCATGGTGAAGGCCGCCAAGGGGGCGGTTATCGTCTGTTGATGAGGCCGTTAGGAGACGGGCGGTTCATGGAGAGTGGAGTTGGAGATGGGGGAAAGGGATATGTGATGTGGTGTGGTGTGGTATTGATTTCTCTACCTTTGGCGTCAGGTTTCCTTTGCGCATCTTGGATGAAGGCATCTCACTTCATTCTCCCACTGTCGGTGTTTTGGGGGTGGTTGTTGGAGGTTTCGACCGGTGTAAGTGAGTTTTGAGGGTTTGAATGTGGTCTCATTTGGTGAGGGTGGTGAGCTGATTGGGTGTTTGGGACGTGTGTGGTTGCGGTGGGGTTATGCGGGTAGTGGGGCGGGAGGGGAGGGGAGGTTTTTTGGTAGGTGCATATCTTGGATGGAGGAAGGTAAGGTAGAGATGGACGGACGGGACAAGACGAGTGGCCTTATTTGAATTCAGAGAACACAAGGTTCGGTTATTCTTGAGAGTTGTCTTGAGTATTTGGCCGTGAATCTCGAATTTCTTCAAAGGGGTTACGTCGGCGTGGTGAATTTCTGCGCCAAGCGTCTTGACGTTGAACACTTACACAGCAAGATGGTTGAAGAAGCAATCGGTGCTTGTACGAAGAGCTTTTCCCCTTTCTTGTTTGAATACAATAGGAAACTCGATGTATTTTTTCTCTCTTCATGTAGTCTACTATCTTGTTTTCGAAAAGTCTATCATGAGTTACTTCCGCAGTGTCACTTGGTGTTGAGGTTCCATTATCGAAAGACGACACCCACTTCCCTCACCATCGCTGCAGAGATTCAATCGTCACTCATGTACAACTGCACAACCCAAAGCATTGCAGAACAATTCTTTTTCTTCCCATTGCAAGACTAGATGTCCGCCAAGCAACATGTCAAGCTCATGCCTTCGGCGCATAGAAATGGCAGGCGCGCTCGGACCCACCTTTCCTAGCAGGAACATTGCGCCTGTCGCGAGTCGTCCGAAAATGGCCGCACATCATCAAAACTTCAGTCAATGCTCGCTCAACACCACAACGTCAAATAATCCATCAAAACACCAAAAATGAGATCGCGAGAAGCCCATGAGAGCAAAAGAGTTGTGACAAGAGTGGGATTCGAACCCACGCCAATTACTTGACTAGCACCTGAAGCTAGCGCCTTAGACCGCTCGGCCATCTTGCCGTGTTTTGTTGTTGAACAACTCTCCGGGAGTGGATACCATGTAGGGTTAAGCGGGGGTAGGCGACGCAAAGGTTACAACACCAACGAGGCGTCCGGCTGGCTCACCAGCAGATCCGACAGCAAATCCAGCGTCCAATGAAGAGTCGACATCTTTTACAGAAATCTGGATAGTCCAGGCGTACCTTCCCGCGTCACTGGGGATAACGCTCAAGGTTGTGAGGACCCGCCGATGTTCAGACAGCTGAAGTATCCGAGAGGCTGGACAGTTTGGCGATGCGACACCCTCTGCGGGCTCACGCTGGATGGCCAATTGAACGGCAGGGCGTTGATCCGGCCAATATTCCCGACGTTCCATCATAGGCCGAACGAGAAAGTAGATGCGACCCCCAAACAAAGACGCGGTATCCCAGTTGCCGAGATTCCTCAGAAGTGGAACACCTATGGGATCCTCATAGTTGCTAAGCAATATTGCCCATCGTTCCGAGGGCACACGGTTTGACATGATAGACACGAGAAACAGCTTCCCGACCTGTAGCTCGTTGTCTCCCAGCAACGAGATTTGCAGCAATTGGGGGGTTAGGGAGATTTGGTCGAATCTCTCATGGTGAAGGAACACGCTGTCCATGCCGTCCCAAAGGGCATCAGGAGTAGCCTTGGAAATCTCGGTGTGGTGTAGCCATTTGAGTGAGCTCTGGTCCTGATTCAATCGAATGAAGACAGCAGAGCGGAACCTCTCGTCTTGATGCCCGATGTGATCCTCAAAACTGATGTGTCTAAGCAATTTTAGCAGTCGAGGCTTGCTGTCGAACAGCACGGCCTCGTTGAAGAAAGGCATGGCGAGCATCCAGGGCTTGTGGCGGATGAAACCTGACGGGGTCTTGGATACGTAGATGCCAATCGGTCTTCGAACTGCCGGTATTCCTTGTACATCGCTGCACTGCAGTAACAACACATACTCTCTCCCTTTTGAGGCTTCAGCCCCATCCTCAACCAACTCTTGCATGTGCAGAGTAGTGGAGACCATCAAGTTGGCCCTCGTCACAACAACATCGACATCGTCGATGAGCGGCGGCGTATTTACTATCGTCCGATACAAGCAGGCAGCGAATTGGGCTGGTGATTCGGCGAATACGCCATCGTATGACCGCTGCCGTCCAGGATCCGTTGTCTCTGACGTCCAGGCCAGCAGAGACAGGTCGTTCGTCTCTTGCAGAATTTCCGACTGTAGGCGTGCGAAAGCCCTTTGTCCTTCCCCGTAGAGCAGAGGCATGTTGATATCGAACAGCCCGAGCAGGCAGTATGCTGCATCCTCGAGTCGAGTAGTTTGCCGTTTAGAAGCCCACGACATGCGAGTGGCGACCGGTATTTTCTTCGGTGACACCTTATTGAACAGGATATTGCTGTCAATGCCCGTGATGGAGGTGAGCATCATAGCTAGTGTTTCTTTATACCCAAGTTGCTCCCAGACGACATTGTAGAAAACGATGTTCTTTGGCGCCACTAGCTCCTGCAAAGTCCATCCTCGCGTGAACCATCGGGAAGCTGTGAAGCTCTCGGGAAACGCACTCGAGTTTGCATCGTCGTGTACATCAGCCAGATATGCAAAGCATACTTTTGACGACTGATACCACCGGAACATTGAGTTGATGGCCTCAGAGAGTTCAGCACTCGACGACTTGTCGATGCAGCAAGTATCAACCCAGGCATAAGGAAGGCCCCGCGACTTGGCGAGGCGGCATGTTGCGGCAATCTTTGGAAATCCAGCTTTCCCCCTCACGGCGTCGGTGAGGTTCCTGAAGTCCTGGAAGGAAACTTCCTCCGTGCCCCAGGTGTGAGAGAGAATAGCGTAAGGGACGGTGGGATTCAGGTGCTCTTCCAGCTGAAGATTGTCGACGTTAATGAGCCACATAGTAGGAGTAAAGTAGGTTGCAGGCTACTAAGCAACGAACGCCGGGCCGACCTGGCTAGAGAAGGACGTCGCGTTGTAGGTTCTGCGGGGCCAGATATGACGCTGCAGGCTTTCGAGCGACGGAAGGTGTGGTGTGGAGAAGAGGACGACATTTTCTCGACTACGAGATGGATAGTCGCTAGAGTAGAGGCTGACCAATGGTGTTGATGAAAGAAGCTCATCTGCAGACAACACGACTACTTGGAAATATAGTAGGGAACTGGAGGACTGAAGTGGCATTGGATGCGCGCAAAGCAGGTGGCTTCCTGTTCCAAATACCTAGACATCGTGGCTGCTGGTAAGCCAAATTCTCATCGCTGGAGCGATGAGACAGACGCGAACGAGATCTCGATGGCAGGAACAGAAGTAGAAGTAGGGCGTCGAGACACGAGAAAGGGCCCAACACCTGTCAATGACGGACACGACGCGGGTGAAACTGCAGCGCATGTGGCCCTAGGCCCAGCCATCTGGTGTTCCCCCACACGAGCCCGGCAGCGCCAGAACGTGCGTTCGCACAGAGGCTAAGACCAAGACGGGGACGGGGGTCGAGGAACGCACGGCCACTGGACGAAAGCTTAGGCCGGGGTGGTGGGAAAGAAGCACCGAACCAGGAACGCAGAGAGCGTTGAGAGGTGGACGGCAGGGAAACAGCCGAAGGCACGAAATCTCCTTCAGAACCGGAGAGAGAGAGAGAGGCGTGTTCCCCGTCTGCCACTGCCGTTCCTGCCCCAACGAAGTCGCAGCTGCAGTTGCAGGGCACCTGGGTTCGGGGACCCAGACACGCAGACTCCGACCTGAGTCCTCTTGTGCTCTTGCTACACCACTCCTCCGGCAACCGCAGCTCCTCCCTCCCTCCTCCTCCTCCCCCGAGCTGCGCGCAGCGTATTTTCCAGACTGCCCCGAGCTTAATAATTGACACCACAGTCCGAGCATGGGTGTAGTGTAATGAAGGCAGGGTACATCTTCATCGTACCTTGCCTTACCGTCAGGTAGGTAGCATCTGGGTGCCCGCACCGCACCGCACCGCTCCGCGCGCAAAATGCAGCACGCAGCATCTGCATCGCATCAGCCCCCTGGTCCCGGCTGAAGCTCTACCCATCGCCGCCTGTGATTGGCTCCTCCCGAGGCCGACCTCTTGAACCTCCTGTTTACCTCTCAACTTCCCTCGACTCCCGTAACCCCCTCCCGTCTTGCTGCAATTTCTCCAGACCTGTCCATCGCATCCAGATCGCATCAACAGCGCATCACACAAGTCCAAGTCGCACATCATAAGCGACCCCCTTTGTAAAATCGCCGGCATCTACATCTTAATCACTACCACCAGCTCCCCCAACCCATCCTCCAGACACAATGCCCGTCGAGCTCCGCAAGCGCAAAGCCCCCGAGCCCGCCCCGGCTCCTGCTCCCAAGAAGGCCTCCTCCAAGGTCGCAAAGGCCACAGAGAAGAGCGCCGTCAAGGGAAAGCCCGCCAAGGCCGCTCCCGAGAAGCCCGTTGAGGAGCCCGTCGAGAAGGAGAAGCCCGTCGCTGCCAATGGCTCCGACAAGAAGGTCAAGGCCGCCAAGGGCGAGACCATCAACCTCGACGGCTTCGGCGGCGAGGTCGAGACCAACGACGGCGACAAGACCACTCTGAAGGAGCTTGTTGACAAGAGCAAGGCCGGCGTTGTCCTCTTCACCTATCCTAAGGCCTCGACTCCTGGCTGTGAGTACTCCTCAATATACCGCGACATCCGCTTGGCGATATCACGTCTGGATGCACAGCGTGCTGATAATCGTCTTGATACTCAGGCACTACGCAAGTCTGTCTCTTCCGAGACTCCTACGAGCCGCTTACCAAGACGGGCTTGGCCATCTACGGCTTGTCCGCGGACTCGCCCAAGGCCAACACCACCTTCAAGACGAAGCAGAAGCTGCCTTACCCGCTGCTCTGCGATCCCAAGGCCACCCTCATTGGTGCCATTGGGTTCAAGAAGCACCCCAAGGGCACCCAGCGTGGTGTCTTCGTCGTCGACAAGTCCGGTAAGGTCCTTGCTGCCGAGCCCGGCGGTCCTGCTGCCACCGTCGAGGTTGTCAAGGCGCTCGTCGAGGAGAGCGGTGACGCCGAGCCTGCTGCCGAGACTGCTGCCGATGCCAAGGAGGAGCCGGCCAATGGTGACGCCAAGGACGAGAAGGAGGATGGCGCCGACGAGGCCGAGAAGAAGGATGAGAAGAAAGACGAGTAATTATAGTGCTGCGATGTAAGTATAATCTAGTGGTGAGAGTGCGTTATTGTAGGAAAATGCTCTTGAGGAGGGATATGGGACGGTTTTTCATGTATCCGCAAGGTAGTTGGGAATTGATTTAATGGCGTTGGTCTTGCTTCAATTGCACATCATCCCCTCTGCCTCGGCGGCAGAGCATCGCCAAACCTTGATGGCGATGCACGCCAAAGGCCAATTTCCCGTGAACAAACCCCGGAAATTCCAGCGTTGCAGGGCGGATTTGCGTGAGAGAGGTGAAGTGGGTACTTTCTGTTAAAGTCGGGTTGCAAATTGAAGCACGGCTATTGCTTCGACCGGCTAAACACCGGCTACCCGCTCCCGCCAGAAACTGGAGCAAGCTCTCGACTCGGGTGCCGGATCACCACCAACATTCAAGCTTGCCCATCACCAACCGACCGAATACCCCTCTCCGCTCACCCACGACGTCGTCAAGATGGCCTCCAAGGCAGTTGCGAAAGCTGCGGCTGGCGGCATTGTGGAGATCTCCAAGGTACGACCGCCTGCGAGACCTCAATTGGCCTCTCCCCGACGAAACAACCACCACCACCTGCCATCATCACCAAACCCTCCCCGACAAACGACCCAACTGCACTCCACGAATGCGATAGCTAACGCACAGTCCCAAAACCACAGAAACACACCCTCCAGTCCACCGGCGTCTGGGAACGCATCCGCCGCTCCCTCGCCATCGACCCGAACCGCTCCTCCGGCGTGCCCTTGAACCCGACCTTCCGCAACCCGGCGCCCGGCTCCCTGGACCCCCTCCAGTACGACGACCCCGTCACCGTGCCCGCGGGCGACATCGCCGACAACCCGTACTGGAAGCGCGACTCCCGCCGCAACTACCCGGCCCTCAGTGTCGTCAACCAGGCCGACGTCGTCGGCCTGCTCTCGGTCGGCTCCGCGGCCAACCCGCGCGTCGAGCTCATCGGCGAGGCCGGCGAGAAGGCGCTCGTCGCCGCGCAGCAGGAGGCCCAGACCACCGGCATCGCGGCGTACCTCGAGAAGAACGGCACCGCCGTCGAGGCGGGCAAGGAGCAGCTCTTCACCAACGGCCTGCCGCCCACGCCCAGCGGCCACGACCTCAAGAGCGGAAAGTGGGACGTGCACAAGTACAAGGTCAACGAGGACCAGTCCTACGGCGAAGCGTGAGTCCCTTTTCTGATCTGGCTGGTATTGATCGTGGGTTTGCTAACGTGGGTTGCTGTTTAGTTACCCCTGCAGGACGTTCACATAGGCCAGTGGATTTGAGGGTTTCTGTATGAGGAGAGTGGCAAAGCTGTAAATATGACGGACACTAGATTCCATTAAACGTTTTTCTCAAGTTTTCTGAAAATAATGTCCCAAAGTTGTCCCACGCCTACCCTTATTCCGTCGTCCTCCATCTTGGGGTATCTCGCCTCCCGCCGCTCATGCTCTATGTAGCTGTGGGAAGCCCATACATTCGACAAACACCGCCCATGCTAAGAATGAAACCGCCCAAAACGAATCTTCAAGCCTCATTTGACTCTGCAACCTTGGGGGCCTCAACAGCAGCCTCCTTGGCCGCGGCCCCCTCGCCCGTCATCCGCTCAATGATCTTGACCTTCCCCTGCGCCCTCTTGAACCGGTCGTCAAAGTCGTTGACGGCGTCGTCGTTATTCTCCTTGGACAGGGTCTCGGGCTCGACGAGCGCGAACGCCGCGGTGACGTTCTTCTCGAGCCGGGCGTTTGGCACCAGCGGCGGCAGAGAGCACGTCTTTGATTCCTTCTGTTCCTCCGACGATGAAGCCCTGGCGCCGGCGGCCGTCTTTTGCGGGAGCGACAGCCTGTTGGCCCAGACGACGGAGCGGCCGTGTATGCTGCCGCTCTCGAGGAACTTTTCGTAGCCCTTTGCGAGGCCGACGGAGCGGCCCTCGATCTTGCCGGCGAGGATGCCGTCCGCGGTGCCCTGGCGGAAGCCCTCGGCGAAGAACTGCTCCTCGAGGTTGAGGACGTCGTCAAAGGGGTCGTCCATGATTTAGTTTCTTTGTGAAACGAGATGTGGCGTTTTGTTTGAGAATCAAGCCTGGCTTGGTTTTATGATTTTATGCTGGGCGCTTTGTTACGTTGAGGCCAAACGCTGAGGTTGAAGTTGATGGAGGGGCGATTTCTAATGGCGGGGCAAAATTAGTTTTGACTCAGCGACTTTTTGGCCCGCGTCTCCGACTCTCACATAAAGCATTCAACGCTCAAACTGATGAAAACAAATAGGCTAATTTCACAGAATTTTCACAGTTACATTTTGGGGAGGTGAAGAAAACAGTAGGTCAAAGTGGTTTGGGAATCAATTCTAAAAATTTTAAGTCTATTTAACAAAACAAAACAGAGCGCCATTCACATGAATCATCACTCATAAGAACCCTTTACTGCATACCAAACAGCATGCCGCCGTTGGCGCACACAACCTGACCGGTACACCAAGCAGACTCCGCGGACACAAGCATACCAACAACGCCGGCAATCTCGCCCACGTACGCGGGGCGGCCGCCGGCCTCCTCGGCCTCGGCGACGAGTTCGTCCGAGTCGATGCCCTTGCGGGCGCGCATGAGGGGCGTGTGCTCGATGAAGCCCTTGATGAAGCGCTTGAACTCGGGGGTGTTGCCGGCGTACATCTCGGTGAGGACGGGGCCCGGGTTGACGGCGTTGACGGTGGCGTTCTCGGAGAGCTCGCGGGCCCAGGTGCGGGTCATGGCCTCGAGGGCGGCCTTGGTGCCGCCGTAGACGCTCTGCTCGGGGAAGCCGGTGGACGAGGAGACGGAGGACATGTTGACGATGCGGCCGCTGCGGTCGCGCGGCAGGTAGGGCTGTAGGGCCTGGACGAGGAGGAGGGGCCCGAGGACGTTGACGCGGTAGGAAAGGTCGAACTGCTCGACTGTGATGTCCGGGAGGAGGTTGTTGTGGGCGACGCCGGCGTTGTTGATGAGGATGTCGACCTGGAACTTGCCGTCCTTTTGGAGGAAGTGGGCTTTGGCCGTCTCGACGAGGGAGCGGGGGCCGGTGGGGGTTCCCATGTCGGCCTGGACGGGGAGGACGGTGATGTTGTGTTTTGTCTGGAGGTCGGCGGCGAGCTGGTCGGCGGGGGCTTTGGAGGAGGCGGAGGTGTAGCCTAGGATCAAGTTGCAGCCTTTGGAGGCGAGGTTCTCCGCGATGGCGACGCCAATACCTGATGTTTTGTTAGTTGTTTTCTTGAGTGAGCAAGTAGGCAGAGGACGGTATCGCACCTCGAGAGCCGCCGGTGACGATTCCGAGCTTTCCTTCGAGGGAACGAGACATTGCTGATGCTGTCTTTGGTATTCGGACTATACTGAAATGTGACAATAGGAAACAGAGGCTACTGGGTCACGGAATGGTTGCAAAGTGAGAGAAGAGGAGAATAGAGAGAGGTAGATTAGCAGGTTACAGCAGGACCGGGGAGGACGGGGACCACAAGGTCGCTCTTATAACACGGCAGCTTAGGGTACCCAACGTAAGAACTGGGACCCTTAGTAGAGCAAAAAAGTACAATCTCCTAAATCGGCAATGCTAGCAGTTCTCGTGACCGGACAGAGGCGCGCAGCTTGGAGGTGACTGGATTAACGACCCAATGGAACGCGTCCTCGTGGCAGGAAAGATCCTGGTGCGGCGTGTCCCTCGAGACGAAGCTCTCGGCGGGATATGCAAGCTACCCCGCTGTCGCAGAGCTGTCCGGGGGGTAAAGTGCTGGTGCCCCGCGGTGGTGGGACGGACGGCGCTGAGATGGGCGACCCCCACGTCATTCTCCCGCGCCAATCCTGTGCCAGGGTTCGAGGCGCTGGAAGGGTCTTTCTAGACCATCGTGAAGGTCGCATTAGGGTTCGGAAAGGGCCCTGGTGCAGGTGCCTCCCAAGTTGAGACATTGCTGTGGCATTTTGTTGGGTACGAATTGCTACAACGGTGAATTACATGGCTGAAGGGGACGAATGACGAGCAATTAACAAGGGCGAAAAATAGAGACGATCACGAAGATCCCGCACATTGGGGATATCTTAAGAGAGCATCGTATACTGTTACTCCAGACACTGTAAGACCAGAGACTCTATATGCTTTAATCTTGGACCTCGTTCTTTAGAATAAACTGGGGAAATGGGCCATTGAGCTAATCCACGAGTCAAGTTGCGTCGTCTTTGCGTCGTGATGTCTCGGTGTCGGTGGGAAGTGTTACCGCTAAAGCTGGAGAAGCAGCGCTAAGACTTTCCGGAATAGTTTACACCGAGTATAATATGCGGGAGGATAACGGTATATGCTGGAATTGAGTAGCTGGAAACGTAACAAGCCGCATTGAAAAATAGAAGCCCGAACGGAAGCGCCGTTAGTGGCTGACTTCAAGTCTAGTAGTCAATTGAATGTGCAGCTTGGACAAGCTCATCCTCTGCATTGGAACGGTAAAAAGCACAGCTGTAAGCTCCCCAATCGCAATTGGCGGGGCAGTTTCGAGCGACCCTCGGAGCCTCGTGCGGCGCTGAGTGTGGTGGGGTCGGCAGCAGCGACCACCAACGACATGGGTCACCACCTAAAAGTCTCTCCTTCACCACCATTCATCAACCCACACCACCACGCACCCCTCCCACCTCAGCCTCGCGCGACAGCTGCCTCCCACCCCGGACCACGACCAGTCCAGCTCGAATAGTAGCCTCGCTTCCTCCCTCTGCGTCACTGTACCGAACTTCCCGTCCCGAGACGAAAAGAAGAGAAACTCGCCCACCATGGATATCCGCCTCCTCAAGTCCTCCGACCTCCCCCTCATACAACACGCCAACCTCGAGAACCTGCCCGAGAACTACTTCCTCAAGTACTACCTCTACCATGCCCTCTCGTGGCCCCAGCTCAGCTATGTCGCCGTCGACGTCTCCCGCCCCAAGCGCACACCCTACGACTACCCCAAGATCGTCGGCTACGTGCTCGCCAAGATGGAGGAGGAGCCCACCGACGGCGTGCCTCATGGCCACATCACCAGTCTCAGCGTCATGCGCACCCACCGCCGCCTGGGTATCGCCGAGAAGCTGATGCGTCAAAGTCGTAAGTGTGCCCCCGTCAAGGCCGTTGCCATTAATTATGGACGTCCTGAGCTGACATTGACCCCAACAGAACTGGCTATGGTCGAGACCTTTGGCGCCCAGTACGTCTCCCTCCACGTCCGTGTCTCCAACAAGGCCGCCATCCACCTGTACCGCGACACCCTCGGCTTCAAGACCGAAAAGACGGAGAAGTCGTACTACGCCGACGGCGAGGACGCCTACTGCATGAAGCTCGACCTCGGCTACATCCGCGAGCAGATCCAGGACGAGCGCGACCGTGAGGCGGAGGAGGGCGGTGCCGCCGAGGCCGCTGACGAGGGCGATCCCGTTGGCGACGTCGGCCGCGACCCCAACGCCGACAAGAAGCGCAAGGTCAAGGTCGGCCGCGGCCTCGGTGTCGGGGAGCTGGTGGAGAAGAACGAGTCCGCCAAGAACTAGGAGTCTGGCCGTGACTCTAAGTTCGTCCCCTATTGTTTGTCCCCTATTGAGGCCTCCAAGGAGTTTTTGATGAATGGGTCGAAGCCAGTGGCGATCTGACTGGTGAATGATGGACCGTGAGGACGGGAGGCGCGATCTGCATGCGGACTTGTGAATCCCCGTATTGGGCACCATCCGCGGGAGACTTTGGGATGTTCATCTGCCTGATGGCGTCCGAAGCTATTCAAGAGAGGTGGCTTAAAAAAAGAGGCGTGTATACAGGGACAAGCATTCTAATGAATGCAAGTTTAAAACGATTACGACAGGATACGGCGCATCATAGCACGGTGACCCAAAAATAGACGAGGCATGGTAAACTACCAATGGAAGCAAAGAAACAAGAGTTCCCTCCCATATGTTGTGTATATATTACATACTCAACCAGCTTGCGTGTCTCGTTTTCACCACCCGGCGGCTTTTCTCTCTTCCTCCGCGGCTAGCTCCCGCGCATACTCGGCATCCGCCTCGACGCGGAGCTTCTCAACGTTCCTGGATATCTCATCAATCTCCTCAATCAACCGCTGCGCCGTCTGCTCTCCAGTTGAGCTTCCTCCTCTCTGTCCCCAACGACCATGCCCGCGGCCCCGCCCCCCGCCGCAGCGTCCTCTGCCCCTCCCCAGGGGAGCATTCTCCAGCTCCTCGGTTCTCTGGTCCAGACGGACCTTGTCCAGCTCCTCCACCTTCTGCGCTAGGTCCTTCTCCATGTCCTTCACGGCGTCGAAGAGGGACTGCGATGAAGGTGGCTGCGGCGTGCTCGGCGACGCCGGCTCGACGCCGGCCCCTCGCTCTGCTGCCGCGGGCCACGCCCCGGGGAACCCACCGTTGAAAGCCTCTCCGCGTCCACGGCCACGACCGTCCCATCCTCGCCCGAAGCCGCCCGCCCAGGGATGGAATCCCCCGCCGTACTGATGGGGCCCGTTCGGGACGCCCCACATGTTCGGGGCCGGCGGCGTATGCGTCATTGGCGGTTGGGGGTTGATGGGCGGCACGGGTGGCACTGGCGGGATCGGCGCCGCGTGTATTACCGGCGGCGGGACGTGGACTGGCGGGACGTGGACATGGACTCCCGGAGGCGGGAACGGCGGCGGCGCGCCCCAGGTCGGGCACTGGTGTTGATGCTGATGTGCGTGGTGGTGGTGTTGTTGGTGGTGTTGTCCCCTACCGCCGCCGCCGCTGCGTCTGCCCTCCCTCCGGCTCCGTCGTTCCTCGCGTCTCTGCTCCCTGCGCTCCCTCTTTTCCTCACGTCTCTTCGCCCGCCGCTCCCGGCGCTTCTCCCTGCGGACGCCGCGCTGCTGGCGCTTGAGCTTGCGCCATTCCTGCGTCAGGGCCTTGATCTCCGCCTTCAGCGCCCTCTCGTCGACAACGGTGGGTGTCTCTGTAGCAGACGATGCCTGTTCCCGCGCTGAGGACCTGGCGGAGCGGATCTCGGAGCGCAGCTGCGAGACCTCGGCCCGCGTCACGGGCTGATCAGGGTGCGCGAGCCAGTCGGCCACGCGCTGCTTGTAGATGGGCAGCTGCGCGGGGTAGAGGTCGTCGTAGTCGGGCAGGGAGCCGACGGAGGAGGCCGAGTCGGAGGAGGAGGTTGACGAGGCGGAGGACGAGGAGTCGGAGGAGGGGGAGCGGTGCTGGTTGGCGGGGTGTCGTCCGGGAGGACGGCCGCGGCCGCGGGTATGGGCTCCGCCTCGGTGCGCTTGGAAGAGAGGGTGGTCGGGAGGCGGGCCTGGGGGCGGAGCGTGAGGGCCTTGGGTGGAGGGGCCAGGAGGGAAGATTGGTGGTTGTGCCGCGGCGGGATGCCATTGCTGTCCGACGTATGGCTGCCCGCGGGGGTTAGCGGCGTTGGGATTGTTCCCGAATCTGATTCCTCTCTCATCTGCGATGAAGCTCCCCAGCCTGATGCCGTTGCTATCCGCTATAAACCTATCCCCAATGGAGATGCCGTCTTCGCTGAGCCTGATACCGGCAAAGTTCCAGCTCCGAGACCCAGAGGGTGCAGGCTGCTGCGGGACCGCTCCCTGGTGAGCGTGTGCTGAGAAGGGTATGGGGCCCCCGGATCCAGCCGACGCGGGACTGTCGACGTTGCGATCGAACGACTGATCCCACGCGCCGGGCATCCGCAACTCCTCTACCTCCGGACTCAAGCTAACCAGCATGCCCCTCGGACCGAAGAAGCCCTCGTTCCATTGCGCGACGACGCCCTCCGCGTCTTCCTTCCTCAACCCCACCCCCACGGCCGCGGCGCCCGGGTCCGTCTCCGGGTCGGAGCGGATCTGCTCCAACTGCGCGGAGGCATGGTGGCTGCTGTTGCTGCTGTTGTTGCCGGTACTCTGCCCGCTCACACTGTCCCCACTAGAATTTGCCGCAGCAGCAGCGGCGGCGAGGGCCTCTTCCTCGGCCTGCAGCTTGCGGTTGATGACGGCCTCGTTCCGGGCGGCGGCGTGGTGGGGGATCAGGACGTTGATGAACGTGGCCCAGTCCTGCTGCGTGACATCCCGGGCGGCCCAGGTGGGCGCGTACGGGACGTCGTCCGGGGTCGTTGTGGGGGTGATGGCGATTGTGTGGACGAGCTGCTCGCGCGGGGAGCGGGACGGCGGCGGCGGGCGGGAGGCGAAATATGCTGCCGAAAAGTCCGAGTACGCCGTCGTTGACGATGCGGGGTGGTTTGCAATGCTGGCGTTGGCGCTGGAGAGGGAGGAGTCGTGGCGCGAGTGCGGTTGGGTGGTGTTTGTGCGCGGGGTCAGCGGCGGGGTGTAGATGACTTCGCTGTGAGAAGAGGCGTGTGAGGAGACGCGCGAGGCGGCATCGTCGGACGGGATGCGCGGTGAAGCTGAAGCGTTGGTGTTGTTGGTATTTGAGCTGCGCCCGGCGGTAGAGTAGATGTCCGTCTCTGAATACGGCGGGGGCGGGACGTCGTCGATGTCGGGGTCTGGCTGTCGCATGGCCATTCGCGGCGATTTTGTTGGTCGGTGTAATTGATGGTGATGGAGCTCGGTGAAGCTATGACTTCTTCGCAGGGGTGGGATGAGACGAAGATTTCGGTCGACGTTGACGACGTTAATTGTCAGTGCATAGATAATTCTCACCTAACAACGAAAAAAAATAAATTGGGAGGAGGGAGACGTCAAGGACAAGAAGAGGACAAGAAATCATCGGCAAGCCGGCACAACCGCGAGCGGTGGGATCATCTGGCGTTTTTGACGAGCTGGGCTGGGCCTAAAGGTGCTAAACTCCGTTGACTCAATCCTCCAATGTCATCCATCTCAAGACCCCCATGCCCCTTCCCGCTAAGCCTTGGCCAACTTAAACCTCAACAGCTGCCTATCCAGGCTCACCCGAACGTTCGCGTAGCCTTACGACCCTTCGTACTCTCGGACTGCGATACTTGTCGAACGACAGTTCGTCACTCAATAGAGGGGGACCCCGCCTCCCGGGAGCCCAGGCGGCGCGGCCGAGCACACGCCATGTGAAGATAAGCATCAAGCTTAGGAGGGAGACCCCTGCCCTGAAAAGGCGCAGCAGTACCTTACTTCCAGTACGCGTTGCGCAAAACAGCCCGAAAAGATGTCACCGCCCAACTGTGTTTCTCTTACTTCCGAGAAGCCTCAAGTTAGAGAAGCCTCACTGCACGTTGCTGACGCGGCCCCCCCTGCGGACGGGAGAGGCAGCAGCGCACATCTTTCCAAGACCAATCATGACGAGACCCATCACCCAAGAGCTAGGTATGACTCTGAACCGCCAAGCGCATCGCTGCCTTCCACACACACACACTCACACAACGAACCAAGCCCCCAAAGCCTCAGCCAAAGCCCCTCATTCCCCAGTGGGTCTCCCACGCCGTTGGAACGCCGACCCTTGAAAGTGTACCGGTCGGCGGTAAACCCCTCCAACTCCAACGCCGTGCTGCCGAACCAACCGGCCCTAGCCCTAGAACGGCCAGAGGGCTACATACGTATAGTGATACGACCAAATCGACAATTAGCGTACTGTACAGAACCAGGCCATGCATGCCGCGCCTGATGATGCCGATGACTGGTCAGGCCCAAAGAACTTTCTTCGGTCTCGTCTTCAGGGCCACGAATCACTGCCAGGGCCGCGGACGCCGCTTTCGCGTCCTGGCAGGGTTGAATGCAAGTTGTTCCTTGCGACACTGGGCATGTCCCAGATCACCGGTCAGCCTCGGTGCTCCAAAGGTGGAAGTCCACGTCCTCTGGCTTGTAATGATCGGCGATAATGGTTGACAGATGGTTGCGAGAATGGGCGCCGCTGTACACGCTGTTAGTTATTTGGTTAATCAAGTAGTACGCGGCAATCACTTACAGGTTTGTGATGTAGGTGTCGAGAAGCTCCGGAGGCACAAACTCGCTGACGGCGCTCCGAATGTCGACACCATTGACCATGGCCCCGTCTGCGAAGCTCACATGGTTCATGGAGCTACCCCATTCTACCAAGCTCTCCTCGTCAAAGTAGCTCTCTGGGCAAAGCTTGTACACACCACTGAGGATAATAACAGGGTTGCCCTGCTCCTTGGCTGCACGGGCGATGACGCCGGCTCCTGCGTCCGTGAGGATACCTCCGTTAGCCAGAACAGCTCTCGCGCCGAGGATGACCTTGTTGATCCGTGGCATGTAGGCCATCATGCCGCCGTTCTGGATGCTGATCGAGTCAATGCCGGCAGCGCTCAGCTTCTTTCTAAATGATGCGTAGGGGCCCTCGTTGGATCCGCGAGCTGGCTCCGACGCAATGAATACGGTAAATCTTCTCCGCGTGGCCGCGCGCAAAATGAATTTTTGAACAGTGGCTGAAGGCTGGTGGACGAGCACGTAGTCGCCTGGGTGAATCTGGACATCAGCAGCCGCGGCAATCTGGTCATCTACTTGGCTGATCTCGTCCTTGAGCTCCTCAATACCCTCGATGACCTCTGACCTGAGAGCGTGAACCTTAGTCGACTGCCCGCGGAGAGGGGTCGAAGCACCCGAGTCCTTGCCGAAGGGCGATCCAGCCATAATTGCGCCGACATCTGCTGGGGGAGAGGCCTCGAGAAGAGAGAAGAGTGACTTGGAGACGTGGAAGGAGCTCGTTGAGGTAAGAGCGCCGGGACGGACCGGTCTCGGGCCGCTTGAGATGTAGTCTGCGCCAGCATCCTGCTTGGTATATGTCGAAGGGGGCCACTGGTGCTCCAACTTGGAAGGGTCGGGCACTGCTGTTGTAGGAGTGGTCCCCACCTCTGTAGCCGTCTCGCTGGCATCTTCGTTGCGGTCCTCGGCAGCCTCGTCTCGAATCAGACTGAGCACGCGCCTGACAATGTTGCCCACAACAAGCTCCTTGGGCTGAGCGGCGATGAGGCGTAGACCGATCTGTTGGATCTTTTCCAAGAGTTGATCGACATCGGACCATTTGGACTTGGCGACGACTTGGAGGAGGATGTGGGCGGTCGCGACGGCGCAGAGCTCGGAGCCCTGGATCTGTCTTCGCTTCAGCAGCCTGCGACGCAAGGGTTAGCGGAGGACGGTTTGACGCGACAGGAAGAGGTACGTACGAAATGAGACCGTCAATTGAAGCTTCCAACGGCTTGCCCTTGAGGGATTTGAGGTACCGCTCCAGGTCCCCCACGCTGGGTTTCACTGTAGCCATTTTGGGAGTGTGCAGGTCGTTGGTGGGAAGGGCCGAGGACGGGAGGAGTCGCGGGGTTATCGCGAGACGGCTAGGGTGTGTCGCGGGGTTGCCGAAGGGGCAGAAGGTTAACCTAAAGGGCAGTAGACGTCTTCAAATCTATCAGCACGCGTAATACACAATTCAATGGTTGTCTGTCGGACTTGGCTGGGCGTTGGTGGTGAATTGGAAATTGTGCGCAGAGAGCTGTGACTCAACGTTGAAGCTTCGGGGAAAGCACAATGGAGACCATCCCTGTCACACCAAAAAATTCGAGGGGCATTGGGTGACCTGCTCCAGCTTCTGGGGCAAGTGTCAGCGGGTGGCTCTGAGTGGTCGCGCAAAGCTCGGCCCGAAGCAACCCGTACAGGGCCCTGAAAAGGTCCCCAATCACTCTGGAAAGAATCGCTCCACTAGGGATTGCCCCTCCATCACTGCAAAATGACGTTGGGGTTTGAAGCATTCTGCTGGTGATTCTGCCAGTGATGCACTAGGGCGTTGCGCTGTCCAGTGAGCTTGTCGACAGCTTTTTCCTTTCCCTGGGGCATAACTAGGTGCACACGAGGGCAAGACAGGGAGGCAACTTGAAATTCCGCAGTGGGTGAGCAAACTTGGATTGGGCGTCAGGTCTTCCATTTGGCATCATTGGCAGTTTTGGGTTAAGTTAAGGCTACTAGCTGTTCTACTAATCCATGATTCTAGAGGCACTTGACTTACATAGGTATTCGTCAAGACGAGAAAAAGGCCAAAGGTTGTTTCCCAGAGAGAAATATGTCTTGCCCCGATATTTCAAACGACACCGATGGAGTTACATGAGGGTCGTATGCGATTGAGCAGTATTTGCTCCTCCGAACTCTGTGTCATCATTTACATCCGTTTTTGTTCTGATAGGAGTATGTCACTAGCAAAATATCACCCGGCCTCTTTAAAACGGAGTTGACGGTATGGAATTTAAAGTTCCCATGTTGAAGCGACAAGCGGCCTTGGTGTTGTAACGGTTAATGCCTCCTAGCCCCAGTAATGAGCCTCACAGAAAGCGATACCGACAGCAATTGGGAGAGGCAATGCTCAATCACCCGCATAAGAAAAACGCTCATTCAAGGATCTGCGCATGGCCTTTCTGCCTCACTAACGAATGCAAGAGTTGCGGGTTGAGAACAGGTAGCTGGGGCTGTCGACGAATGGTTGGACGGCAATGGAACACGGATACGAGGCGTGGATCGGAGAACTGTGACGCTGCTCTTGTGATGGGCTCGATTCTTCAGTTCCCGATTCATGCCCTGCCTCTGCTCAATCAGATTCCCCAACGACAATATCAAAAGTGGAGTTGAGTTCTTCACATGAAAGAGCACATGTCTGGCAGAGCTTGTCGGGAATCGGCTGATGGATGCTTGCAATCAGTTCAGAAGTCATGGCCGAAAACCCATGGACATTCGTCGAGGGTTAAGCTGGAAGTAGAAGCCCTTTCCGAAGACCGCACCGCAAAAAGGGGCGAGGGAGAAGGGAGGAGTCCAGAGCTCCGGATGCCGCTGCTCAATGCTCAATGCTGTTGGGTAACGACAGCTTAGATTGTGGGCTGAGGTCCACGGGGACGAAGAGAATACTATGTACATGGATTACGTAGCCGCTTGGCGGCAGCTGGCCACCCCTGCTGCTGCTCACTCCCCCAAAAGTTGCGGCCATGTTCCACTGAAGCACCAGGACAGCAAATGGCAGAGGTCCAAAAAGGACACTGAATTCTTTGCAGACACTGGAATCGACACGTGAACATCCAGTAGGCTGTCTTCATTCCATCCCCCACAAGGGAAAGAGCCAGGGTAGCCAAGCAGTGTAACCCCCAGCAGTCCGGATAGCACCCACTGATGCTGCTGCTGGCCTGCTGCTGCTGCTCCTGCACCTGCAAGAGAGTGAGCGAGATAGAGAAAGAGCACAAAGTACTGTCCCAGCAAATGTCTGCGTGACGGTACCACTGTCCACCACAGGCGGCCCAGCCCGACCCAGCAGACTCGCAGTCTGTTGAGAGCAGCTCCATCGCTCATCCCTCCACTCCCCTCGCACCATCGCGCACCTCACACTCCTTGTCACTTGCACCTGGAATCCGCTTCCCTCCCGCGGCTTCCAGTCCACAGTCCACAATCCACAGTGAACAGTCCACAGAACCTCTGTCGAAACAGATCGGTTGTCGTTGACGCCTCCAATCAGAAAAAAGTTCCCGGCCATCTCAACCATTAACCACCCCCCTGCCCGTCTCGACTGGACTCTGCGAACTCCCGACAGCCCGACGCCTTGTATACCGTACCTACACTCCCTCTTCACTTACTCTACCTGCCTGCTTCTCCAACTTCTCCAGCATCCTCCCCCTCCTACGGCCATTTGGTCCAAAGGCAGTCCAAGTCCAGCCAGCACAACACATCAGCAACCAAGTCGACAGCTTTGCGCTGACGGCCACATCGCGCTTTAGCGTTTGTTAGCACCAGACGGACGAACCTTTTTTCGCCGGCGCCACCACTTTCGCGCTTCTTTTTCTCCCGCGTCGACTTTCCATGGCGAGCTGATTTGCTGTTACTCCTTGGATTTTGGGGGGAACACCACCTGGCCAGCCCGAGGCTTGGAACTCTTCAACACGACCGACGATACACTCGATCCTCGAGACCCGCAGCATCACTTCGAACAAAACCACTTCGACGCATATAATTAGACAAACACGCACTCGTTTGCTCGTTACCTCGATCGCCGCGCACTTCGCCTTGCTGCAAATCCGCCACCTGCTCTGACGCGACAGCTCGCCCATCGCATCTCCCGTCGCGCGGAACGTCTGGAACATTCCTGACCACCAGTACCCCTATCTCCTGATCCTCGAACCCGCTCGCCCTTTCCGATCTCCCATCGCACCCGCCGTCGACCCCATGCCTCATGGATTGCATATCTTCTCAAAGATGAACTCCCTGAACATAATCACCTCGCGCGTGTCTCCGCCGCCGAGTCCGGTCGCTTCGCGATCCAACTCCCTGGGTTCGCTGGGTCTGACGGTTCAATCCGACGACAACCAGCATGACGGCGAGAGCGCAGAGAACCAGGGTGACAGCCACGAAGGGGAAACCTTTCCGCTAGAGAAGACCGCATTTGAGAAGAACAACGATGGTCATGGCATGGATCTGGCCAGCGAAGCCACGCCGCTAATAGGGGAATCGAAAGATTCTAGCCTAAGGTCGACTTCATGGCACTCCTTGCCTCGGCGCATGGCTGTCAGCTTCATCAATTCCATCCGCTGGGTCTTGTCAACTCTTGCCGCCCCTGGAGTATATCTCATCGCCTGCCTCTACGACGACACGGGCGCATTCTCGCCCTTTTATCAGCTAAAGAAGCTGTTCGGTTTCGGCGGTAGCAGCAAGAAGTTTGGGAACGATTTCACCGAATCGAGCGCCATGAACGAGAAATCAGGAAGGCAAGGGAGCGCCGGGTACGGAGGTGTTGCGTATTCCAGGCCAGTCGGGTCGTCAGGTTCATCATCTTCAGGTCTATCATCAGAATCCGAGTCAGACGCAGATCGCAGACGGCGTGGATCCACCAGTCGACACTCTCGGTCCAAGTCTTCAGCGGAGGAAATCGCGCCGGCAAGAAGGTCCATTCGCATTAAGTTGCACAGCGACGATGCACTGCCGACGCGCAAGCATAGGAAGACGCAGTCTGCTGCTGCACGTCCTAAGGAATCCGGCGGCTCCGACATTTCTGCCCAGCTCAAGTCTCCAACGTCTCCCGCCGGCGCACTGACGAGATATCCCAAGACGCCGGCTCCTCCCCGACCCTTGATTCCCCGCCGTCAGCCGTCATATCTGAACATCGAACCGACCGATCCCAAATACCAAAAAACCCTTATCTTGGACCTCGACGAAACTTTGATCCACAGCATGTCTAAGGGAGGCCGCATGAGTACTGGACACATGGTTGAGGTCAGACTTAATCAGACGTATGTGGGCGCCGGAGGTCAGACGTCCATTGGACCGCAGCATCCAATCCTGTACTGGGTCAACAAGCGTCCGCACTGCGATGATTTCCTCAGAAGGGTAAGTCGATTGAAGCTGTTGAGTTCAGGGAGTAAGCGTTGACAGCTGTCTAGGTCTGCAAATGGTACAATCTCGTGGTGTTCACGGCTAGTGTCCAAGAATACGCAGACCCCGTTATCGACTGGTTAGAGGCAGAGCGAAAGTTCTTCTCGGCGCGTTACTACAGACAACACTGCACCTTTAGACAGGGCGCATTTATCAAAGATCTCAGCTCAGTCGAGCCTGATCTCAGCAAGGTCATGATTCTGGACAACAGCCCGTTGAGTTATATGTTTCATCAAGGTATGCGACCAGAAAATGAGAATCATTCCGCAATCTCATCTAACCCATACAACAGACAATGCGATCCCAATTCAAGGATGGATCAACGATCCGACAGACAATGATTTGCTCCACCTGGTGCCACTACTAGAAGGGTTGCAGTACGTGTCGGATGTGCGGGCGTTGCTTGCCTTAAGAGGAGGGGAAGACGGTCAGCACATGGCGTAAGGGTTTGGGAATTGTAGAGGGTTATCGGTGTACAGGCATGGGAATAGCGAAGCGGCCACCGGCGGATTCAACTACGCGGTGTAACGCTGTTTTAATAAAGAAATTCGATGAACAGACGGAGTATGGAGTTTGGGCGATGCGTTCTGTGACTATTTCGAATTGCTGCAGGTCTGTCAGACCACTGAAGAATCGCCAAATATGTGAGCAACGCGGTAGAGAACCAGAAGAAAGTGGCATTTCGTGGCTTTTGACAATTCCAACTTCTCAATGCAGGGGCTATCAACGCGCTCAAAGGCGCATATTCCTGTCCCGTTCCTGGGCTAGAGTCGGCCGGGTACTGCCGTCAGTTACCTCGGGTCTTGAATAGGCAGGCAGCGGCATGAATGATACAATCAATACGTAGTTTTACGGAAGGAATCGCAGTACTCTCTGCGCAGAATAGTCTAGAGCTTCCCTGCAGGGGTTCGCAAAGCTCGTGGGTCCCGTTCATCGGAAACAGCATCATGGCTCGATTTGCGACTTAGACTTGCACCGCCTTGGTTCAGGACAAGGGACGTTTTCAAGCCACTGAACCCCCAATCTCGATCAGATTACGGGATATCTGTACTCCAGCTGCTCCTTCCCCGCAGTCTCCCCCGACGGTGGCCTGTTTGACAGGCGCTGAATTGCAGGGCCAGGGAAGGCAAATAGCGGAGGGCAAAGGAGGACAAGCTCCGAAAGAGAGGATTGCCATTGAAAGGTGATGTGCTCCCAGGTGACATGGAGGTTACCTAGATGCGGGTAGTTAGCCGGGGGTATGCGGGTTCAGCGGAGGGAGGAAAGGCCCATTGGCAGGTCTCGGCCAATGGAGGGAGCACGGAGTGGGTCGGGTGTGGGTTTGGCGGGGGAGCCAGGGTGGTGACATCATGGCACAGGTGACGACACCACGTCCTCAGGTGCTTCGCTGGGCCAACAGTTCCCAATTGCGGCGGGCTGGGGGCGGAAAGCTGCTGTGGAAGGGGAAAATGGCAGGGTGGGAAAAGAGATTTGGCCTGGTCTGGACTGGTAGTCGGGACACATCATGCAGCAGCAGGGCATGGTACGAATAAACAAGCAGGCAGGCAGGCAGGCGGTAGGAGAAGCTGTGGCACGTCTCTCGTCACGTCTTATTCCATTTGCACGAGAAGCGCCCCCCACCCCCCCCTGCTTGTACCTTTCGCCCAGCTATGCTTTTATTGCGCATAGCTCCTGTTAGCCCTTGGCTGAGGTATTCTTACACTTCGTCGATGAGGGAACGAGACTTCGATCTCCTCGACGGGGCCCGCGTCGCCTAGGCGGTTCTTGTACCTTGGTCACCCATTACCTCAATTGCTAGCTCTGTTTCGCCCTCCCGGGGGCGGGATTGTGGTTGAGCTTGGCCTTGGCTTTGAGGTTTCTGGTACTTTCCCACTTGCGTGCAGGAGCTGAGGTCACAGCTAGCTCACACAAACGTTGCGGTGCCTTGCACCACCTGCCTTCCACACACCACCCCTTTGGCACATAAAAGCCAGTCCTATCCCGCCTCTTCGGGCACAGGTCCCTATTTACATCACTCTCCCAGCCCAATCGAACTTGAGTTTTCCAGTTTCATCAAAAGATACCCAAAATACCGCCATCATGTCTTTGCACTGTAAGTGTTGCCTCCCTAGATTGGAAGGAGAGAGCGAGCTTGTGCCTCAACGTCGAAAGGGACCGATATGTCGTCATCGTGGATCAAGGCAGCATGGCAGAAACGCAGAGATTCAATAAGTTGCTAACATCAACTGCTCAACAGACCTTCCCCCCGTCAAGCCTTCGGCCATCGCCCTCGGCACCATCTTCAACCACACCACTGAGCTCGCCGGTATGTGATACCTCCCCCCTGGCTTCCAAATCACACCACTCGATCACATCAGCTGACCAGAGCTCGCCCGCAACAGTCTTGACCCCCCTCTTCGGCCAGACCTACCAGCGCGCCAAGGCCGCCAACAGCAAGGAGGAGTTCCTCCGCTCCAAGGAGGCCAGCTCCGCCGCCGTCGCCTGGGGCACCTCCCTCGTCGGCTCCGCCCTCCAGTCCTACGGAGTCGGCGCCCTCATCAACGCCACCGGCACGCTCTCCTACAAGGGCGCCGCCTACCTCGGCAGTCTGATCTTCTTCGCTACCTCTGCTCCCGGCGTAAGTTCCTCTTCCTTGCGTTTTGCCTTTGTTGTGTCGATGACTGACACGCTTGCGCACAGTACATCTCCCAGGTCTTCGCCGAGAAGCGCCCTCTTGACACCGTCGGTGTCAGTGCCCTCGCCAAGGTCATTGAGACCGTCGGTCTCTCCGTCTTCCTCACCTGGTGGGGAACCCGCACCAACCCCTTCGACTAAAGGGTTGCGTTTTTTAATGTAATGAAATGAAATGGAGAGTCTGGAACAGACTCCTCATGTGCTATTAGCCTATTGGATCGGATGGGTTGCGGTCATGGAGTTTGAAGAGAAGTCGGTAGCCTTGACTGGGAACCACTTTGCCATGTACCTACACTTGCTGCTCAAGCCATGATTCCCCTAATTAAAAAAGGTTCAAAATACTTGTCGCTGTCAGCTTGAGATGGGTTGCAATATCTGCGCAACATCGTGACATTGCAACAACTGAGCGGGAGAGCTACGTCAAGAAAATTCACCTATGAGGGGAGATGTTGATGGACGTATAGCATTTCCACATTTCACGACACTTGTTTTGGACGGCGACGTTGGCTGGGCTTGAGCTTTGCTCCAAAGTCAAGCAGCTTGGGCCGACACCATTCGCGATAACATGACGCCTTCACAGCATCACGAAAGACAGTGCCCTCACTCTGAGAAGCACTGCAAGAGTTTCCTCCACACCTTCGCACCCTGACGGTTCCAACGAAGGCTTTGATGATTTGAAAATCGTTTATTGGTGAGTACTCAACTATACTCATGCAGATAATCCGTTAGAACGCCGAGCATCTTTTGCTTTTGTGCCATCCAGGAGAAAATTCAAGTTCCCATATGTCCGTCGCAAGGTTCAGGTGATGGTGGTACAACCCGCATAAAGCCGTTTTGTAATCGTCGACCCCGAACACACACCCACACTCTCGAAGGGATGTCTCTCGTACCTAATTTTTACAACACAACCTCACTCGCCCATGCAGGGTATCATGCGCATCACGCAAACACACACAGATTGCATGTCCCCTCAAAAATCCGACCACAAGCCCTGGTATCAGTAGCTTAGGACCAGAAAGACTGCTTGGCCGTCTCCTTCTGCACGAGCTTGACCAGGGCAGAGTAGACCTCGGAGTAGTCCTCGCCGTCGTCCTCCTCGGCATCGTCGCCGGCGGACTTCTTCTCAGCCTTCTTGGCGTCGGCGGCGGAGCGCTTCTCGGTGACCATGACGACGGAGGTCGGGCGCTTCGTCTTGGCGGCGGCGCCGAGCTCGGCGCGCGAGGTGACGAAGATGTAGGGCACGTTGTGGTCCTCGCAGAGCACGGGGATGTGGGAGATGACGTCCATGGGGGAGATGTCGCCGGCGATGATGACGACGCCAGGGAAGGCGGTGTTGCTGGGCCCGGAGGCGGGGGACTTGCGGAGGGTCTTGACGACCTCCTTGACGCCGCGCTTGAGGGTGTTGTTCTTGGCGGCTGGAATGGAAAAGTTAGTATGCCGGAACGTTTGTATGGTCCAATTGACCTCGAAGCGCGACGCGGTGTGGGGGGGGGGGGGGGGGACGTACCCTTGCGGATGGACTTCATGACCTTCTTCATGTTCTTCTCGTCGGCCAATGGCACGGCGAAGGGCACGAGGGCGCCGACGACGGGGAGGCCGTCGGCGGTCTTGGAGGAGACATCGCCGGAGGCGACGGCGGTGGCGGCGACGTCGGCCTGGAGGTGCTCGTCGAGGGCGCGCTCGAGCTTCTCCTTCTTGTCCTTCTTGTCCTTCTTATCCTTCTTGTCCTTCTTGACGCCTCCGTCGGACACGGATCGCTTCTTGTCCTTCTTCTCCTTCTTCTCGGGCTTCTCGGCGGCCATTGTGACGGTTTGTGGTGGAGGATTGAAGGGTTGGAAGGAGACGGGGAGAGGTTGTGGGTTGGCGACGTGTTGGGTGAAGCTTCGCTGGGACCGACGAGACTCGACCTTTTTTTTTCTTTGCAACTCAATGGGTTGCTGAACTTTTTTTCGGTGGGGCACTACGAATTGGCGGCGCATAGTAACTCCGTGCCGAGGCCTTACCTTCCGGCAGGCTTCGGTGAGATGTGTAATGCACGTGACCTGCAGTGGCCAATCAGCGGCTGTGCATTCCGCAAATGTCAGCGCGAAAGTGACAGTTGAGGGTATTTCTTTCGTATCATCGGGTATGATTGCGCGTGGAGGTTTGTTCACCAATTTTCAGTGTTATAAATAATCGCAGCCAAACGATATTGGCAGATTCATCGGTGTTCCTTTGGGAATTGTACTCATCGGACCTTGTCCAAAATATTCAATGACACATGCATTCCTTTGCCACATGCGCATATGAAGATCAAACCAACAATAAACGCCATAGTCAGTGTCAGCAAGAGATGAATTGAATGTAAATCGTCAAAAATTGGGGTTCTATTCCATATCTCCCCCTCTACGTAGTTGATATACACGTGTTTGACACAGGGAATCGTTGGTCCACCTCTAGCTTTCGTCGTCCGCCGTCGTCGAGTAAACTTGTTTACTCCTCAGAGTCACCGAACTCGGCGCGGCCCTGCTTGGAGTTCAGGTAGTGGTTGCTGTGGCGAGTGTTAGTCGAAAGCCGCTCCTTCAATGTCTGCGGAGCCTCATCGGGGAGGCTGCAGGGTGACCTACCGGTGGGTGGCCCAGTCCATGATGTACCAGCCGGCAACAAGGGGAGGCAGGAAGTAGAGAACCTGGGCGCTGAAGCGGCGCCAGGTGTTGAAGACGGCGTCGTGGGCGGCACCGGCGAAGGGGTTCTGGCGGTTAGGGGCAAGACCGTAGGTGATGATGCCTCTC